TTGTTAAATAGATGCAGCCCTCTGACACTTGCCTCAGGTGACTGAGATAGTTTCCACAACTTCTCCTCTCTTTTATCCACTGCCAATTCTCCTGCCAGGTGCCATCACGTATACAGTGACAATGTGCACTCATAATTTAATACTCTTCCACTGTCAACTCACACAGTCCCAATAGATGATAGATAAGCTTAAAGGCAAACATATTCACTACTTTGTATGTTATTTCATGCATTTATAATGAATAACATTAACAGTATGTTTCTTTTTTTATTAATGCAAAAGAAAAAAATTAATAAAAATGCTTGCTGGCAGAGCAGTGTCAAATTTGGAATCTGGCTAATTGACCAGAACAGCTCCTGCACTTCTAATGAGCCACATCTGCTGATGTGAGTCTTACCTGTTCCAGCTCTGCAAACAGACCCTCCTGGAAGAAATTCAAGGATTGTTCAGAGTCCAGCTTTTGTGTTCAAACCCTTGAGGTGTATTATAACTAAAGACAGGACCAGAAGCTGGAACTTGAAGACACAAACGATGACTGCCCCCTAATGGTTGGTTCCAATATTTGTTTTGGGTCCCACCCTACTTCCCTTATCAAAAAAAATAAATAAATAAATAACAATACACTCCAAATGTTATATTTGACATTTGTCAATTCGCATGGTTCTAACCCTGATGCTATTTAAAAATATGCATTTTATTTCAGAACATTTAGTTTTAGTTTGTTGTTTTTAGGTTTCAAAAAGTGTCAAGTTMTACAAGATCCAATATGGCAGCTCCCAAAGACAAGGACAAATTGTTTTCAGCACTGAACAACAGGAGGAGGGAACATTTTATCTATATTTATTAATTTTATTGGTTCAGACTGAGAGTAATAACTTGTTTTGTTGTTGTTGTTTTTGAGGGGGTGGGTTGGTAGGGGGTGGTATGTTTGAACAGCTTCACAGATAATGTTAGTTGGGTGGGTAGTTAGTAAGTTAGTTAGTCAGGTGGTGGTTGGGCAGTTAGTTAGTTAGTTGAAAAGGAAAAAGTAAGAACCTGCTTATCCCCACTCTTCTCCAAAACTTATTAAAAATAATAAATGTGTCTGTTTTCTTCTTCTAAATCGCACCATAAGATTTTCAGTCAATTTTATATTTAAATTATATAACAATTACAAAATAAATATCATTGATATATTCATTTTATATTTGTCTTCCTTTTCCATCAAAATATGTAATATTAGCACACCTACATCTTCACATACAATAGGGGTGCAACGATACAGAAAATTCACAATTCGTTTCGGTTCAGTACTTTAGTCCCACAGTTTGATATTTTTTCGGTGCAAAAAAGACAAATTTCCATGCCATTCTTCACTTGTAATTTATTGGACATTAGTTTAACCTCAAAAGTACAGTTTTTAAATTAAATGTTGCTGAAACAGCAAGTTTCTCAGTGGATCTGTGCTCGACAATGCAGCCTAGGTGGAGTAGTCGAACACAGATCCACTGATCCTTCAAYACAGAGCATCTTCAGAAGACAAGTTGATAAAATAAATTTTAAAAATGTGTATTGTTTGATACAGTGTGTATTGAACCTAAAGCACTGTATTGAATGGTTCGATACAGATCCATGCATTGTTGCACTCCTAGTGTATAAGTCTGTATAGAAATCTGTTGCATTAACATATTTACATGCAAGCTGTGCACACACACACACACAAATATACAGTATATATATATATATATATAT